TTGTTATCCCAACCTTTTAAAAACAGAGTAATGTTGCCTAATTTTAATTAGTACAGACATTGACCGTTAATGTGCAATCTTTTTGACTAAAATATGCCAGGATGGCAGGCCATGTAGGATATATATGATATAATTTCGGTTAATATGTTCATTTAAAAACATAAAAAGACTAAAATATGCCTTCCTAAAATATATAAAAAAAAAATCATCCCTGTATCTTAAACCCATCAGATCCAATAACAAGCCACCGGTGACAAACCTCCAGCAAACACCACAAAGCATAGCCAATCACTGTAACCACAACATATCATATCTCATGCAAGGGTGGAACTACCTTATGGGTGGGCCCCTGTATTTTTTTTTTTATAAATTTGTAAGGTATAGGTATGGACAATGATTAAAAAATCAAATCAAAATCAAACCATTGATCTTCAGGCTAATGGCTCAGTAAAGTTCAGAAAAACTGTTTAAGGAGTTGGGATAGATTGAATCACTTTGAACTGACTATCTGACCAAAAACTAAAAGCAAGCTAAGAATTAGGTCTAGTTTTTAAAAACTTGATTGTTAAAAAAAATACCCTTTTCTTTTTTTTATCAATTTTTTTAAATAAAAGAATAATTTTTTTAATTATTTGATGTTATGTTGCATCATGTAGCTTGTTATATAATGATAAACTTAAAATATTTGATTTTATTTTTAAATTAAGTAATAATTTCATATTTAGATTATTATATACATATACAACTTTTTAAATTTAAATACTCACATATTTGACCATTGATTTAACTCAATTAGACCATGAAAATCATAAGCTGTTAGTCTTTCTTATTTAATATTCAATTCAATTCTGAAAACATTGAGTATAGGTATGTTGGGAGATTATTTTCAGGCCTCCAGTTTTTTTTAAATTATATAGTTTTATGCTCTTAGTCTCGTAATAAAATTTAACCCAACCCAACTCAACTTAAGTATATGATCTAGCCCAAAACCCCTGTTCAGTTTCTGTCCGAGTTTGGCATTATAAGTTCCTCCCTAATTTTGATGAATGATGATGGCCTCTTTCTTTGATTTTCTCCGAAGTCCTAGAATGAATTTAATATGGGGAATGGATGATGGATGCTGGCACATTATATATGTTTTGGAATGAAATATTATACATGTTTTGGATTGTGGAATTTGGGTTCACATGAGATTGAGATGGTTATTTTCGTTGTTTTGGTAATTCTGCGCTTTTAATATTTTTATTTATATATTTTTGTCACTACTTGGATTTAAATGTTCTAATCTATATTGCTCAAATTAAAAAAAAAAAGAAAGAATCTCATTTGTTAGCTTCTTAATAGTTTATAGAATTGTTAAAGAGTTTGATATAGAATTTTGTATAGATGATTTTAATGATGTGTAAGAGAGAAGGATTAAGTTTTCTTTAATTAAAAAGGCAAGCTAACCTTTGACATATTATTATATAATTTACAAAATTTTTAATAAAATGTCCTATCATTTTTTTGTTGAGGATTTCCCCCCTCAAAGAATTGAAAGTTGGTTCCATACCTGATCCTATTCAAAGTTATAAATCGAGAAGTAATCTAAGCCATGATAGTTGGGATCAAAAATTGAGGAAGAAGAAAGATGTTGATGCACGAAGGTCATCGCCATCTTCCCCTTTTGTGATAGCGACCTCAAAGCAGTCACGACCCACTACATTATTGTTGAGTCTAGACTTGAAGTCGACTTATCATGGCCAACAATTTTGAGTTCCTAAGCATCTTGTGGGTGAGGATTCCCTATGTTTGACTCAGCAATCTTTTGTCTTTCAACATGTCATGCTTAAGGTTTCTTCCAATGAAGAGGGACTACTTTTGCTTCCAATAGCAATGACCTAGTTGCTATTTCTGTTCAAGAAGGCAAATCCTTAGTGTTGTGTTCTTTAATGTCAACATCTTCAATTTCTCTCTTGAAACCTTTTTTCCCTAACTTTGTCTTTGCTCTTACCGTTACACTTCTACCCCCTTCCTTCAAATTCAAAGTTTAATGGCGAATACCTCATCCTTCTAGCTTCACCTTGTTATTTTTTTTTGGTTGCTATCATCTTTTCCTTAGCATATTACCTCAGTTTTGCAACTAAGTTGGTGTTTTTTAGTTTTTCTTCTTTGTTTGAAGTGCTCATGTAAGCCTTTAACTCTGTGACTATTGCCTTGCTGACACCTTTGGTTTTGCAGCTTCCATGGTGGTCCATTTTTTTATCCTCTTATTTCTCGCAGGTTCTTTAAGGGTATAAGATGAAGGATTGCTCGATCAAGCAATGACCGTTGGTTGCTCTAGAGTTGTGGTGGCTGTTGGGGATGGGGAGATTATATTGGTCCTGCCACATCGTACGTTGACTCAATCTCAAAGGGTGTGCCAATAAAGCATCGAATGGTCAAAAAAATACAAATCAATGATTAACGTTCTATTAGTTTTGAATAACATTGCTCTATTTTTAAAAAGTTAGAGGGTAACATTGCACGTTTTTTAAACTTTAAAATATTAATTGTGTCTTGTAAAAAAGTTTGGAGGTAAATTTACCTTTTAACTCTTAAAAACAAAATTCATTAGATCCCACATTGCTGTGAAGACTTTGCCTTTTGCTAAAAACTAAAAATTGTGAAAATTTCAAGCAATCCTTCATTCCACATAATTTTAGTCAACTTTTAAAATTATAAAATTTCACAAAACATTAAAGACAAAAATAAAATTAAAGAGTTAACTTAAATGATTTTGTTATTTCTAATAAAACTAAATATATAAACAATTTATGTAGAAAAAATAAATAAGTAATGTATAGAAAAATGAGTAAATAACATAGGTGGGAGGATGGCTGCAAATTCAGGATGGTGTTGTACTATTAATAAAAATTGTAAATAAAAACAATGAATTTATTTGAGTCATTTCTTTAATTTTATTCAATCTTCAAAATGTGCGGTGAAATTTCAAAATTTTTGAGGTTGGCTAAAATTATGTTGGGTGAAGGGAAATTTTCCCGAAAGTATAAAAACTTGAGCATAAAAAATAATTCCTTACAAAAAAGAAAGAATAAAAACGTATTGACGATTGAATAAAACCATTACTTTGACAACACTTTTCCTAGGTAAAAAAAAATATATATATATCCATAACACATCCCCCACATCCGGTACTTCGTATCAGGTTTTTGAGGAGAAAAATTGTTGTCTTTTTTATATAGTAGCATTCTCACGTCCAAAATATATCATATTTTTAACATTGTGATAAAAAAACGATTTACATCACTAAAATAGTAAAATTTTATTTTTATTTTTAATATTTTTATTTTAATTAAACTCAATCTATTTTAATTATTTTTAATTTATATATATATAGTATATCTTCATCCTACAATTAATAAGTTCAATAATTTAACCTTTTTGTGCAGAGTGTCTTATATTTTTAACTAAAATTAGCTTATAGAAAATATGATATATCATGGATATTAAAAAAATCCAAGTGTTACGAGGATGTTTTTTATTATGAGGTCATTACTCTCTCTCCAAAATGTTAATTTAAGAGCACTTGTTTATATAATCAAGATCTTTCTCAAGCCTCTTTAATATGGGATGTGACAATTCTCTTAGCCAATTCGCGGCACTACTATCATAGGTGGCTTACCAAAAAAGCTCATTAATTAGACAAACTCAAATTTAATTTTAATACTATTTTATTATAAGGCTATTACTTTTTTTTTTTTAAGATTAACTTAGTGAGGTGTGCAATTTATATATTCAAATTCTCTCCAAGTTCCTTTAATATTGGACGTAGCACTTTGCCCTCCTTATAAAAGAGAGGGCATGGGTGCAGTTGGTTTGAAAAATAATGTGTCTCTTTTAAAAAAAAAGTGTAAATATAAATGGATATGTGGAGCTGTAGCCCCCTATAAGACAAAGTGTTTAGTACGGATAAAATTTAAAAAAATTGTTAAATTAAAAAAAAGGTAATTAATGGGTTTTGAATCTCTGCAGAATCTATAGAGCTGCTTTTCTCTCATGCAAGGGAAAGCAGTGAAAGAATTGCCACAAATTTAAACTATTAAATTAGATTTAGTTATTTTAATTTAATAATTTTTTAAAATATAAATTTAATTTTAAAAATTTAAATTTATAATGAATATGTAATAGAAAAAATATCTTTGAAAAAACCCTGGCCTGGGGTGAGAAACAAGAAGGGGACACATGGTGTTTCTTTCACATCAAAGAAGTAGCGAATGAATGGGTCGGGATCTTCTGCGAGTCTGCAGGTGCGGTTAAGCAATCCCAGCCTTTGCTTTCATTTAGGAGCTTAGAGAAGGACACGCGGTACTTTTTTTTTTTTTTTAATAAGAATGCTGACGAAACGTAGCGTTTTCGAAGAGCTGATCCTCCCCGCCCAAAACACAGGGCACGTTCATGGCAAGCACTTCTTTTACTTAAGTGAATTTTGCAACCTAAATTTGGGAGAATATCAGAAACAATTTAATTTTATAAAAAAATTTTAACAAGTAAATATTAATAATTGATAACTGAAATTCTAATTTTAACAAATATATGATCTATACATATTAAATTTTTCTTCTAAAGTTTTTCATTTAATATTCTCCCGATCAGATTAGTTTAGATTAACGAAATATCACACGATTACTTTCTTGGTCACTTTATTTTTCAGTTTGATACAGGCTTTCGCGACTTCACTTCACTTCGGTTAACCAGAATAAACGAATTTCACCAATCCACAGTTCAAAAGCCCAGCCCAACGCAACCCAACCCAACCCAACCTCTGTTAACTCTCACCTAGTTATTTTCGAAGCCCCCCTAGCGTATTTGTAGTAATAAAATGGGACCTTGGAAGCTCGCAAGATACTGATATCGATTCATATTTAATTATGCTACTGGCCCAAAAAAAAAAATATCATACTTATACTGGCTCCTCCCAGAAATTTTTGGTGAGGTTTATTCAAGGGAATCGCTGAAGATATTAAAAAAAGAGTCTGTTTATTGATCGTTATCACTTTCACAACACAAGCCATTCTTCACTTAACCCCAGAAGATCATATCCTCCAACACTGAGAAATTAAGGAGAAGACAAAGGAATTAATAAAGCATTACAGAAACACTCGCAACGTAACATTACTTCTCGAACACGGCACAACTTGAGAGGATAAAAAGTGATGGATCTATCACTCCCTCCTCAACCTCCATAGAGGGCCTGTAGTCTTTAACAGGGCTTGATGCAGAAGCAGCGGCGACGGAAGCCACGGCAGTGCCATCCGGGGAATCCCTCGGTCCGGCAAACGTTGGCGCAGTTAGATTTGCTCACACACGTCCCCTGGAAGCGGTGGCTCTGGGACTCGCAAGTCCTTGCTTCTGCCACCATTGTCGGCCCCATCTCTGATCATCACAAAACAAACAAGAACGGCATCAGAGATCACAAGGAGAGAGAAATGACGAAGAATCGTGAAGGAGCGAAGAGATACGAACCAGTGGCCACGAGAAGGAGAAGGAGGACGAAAATGGTGGAAACCAGACGCCCAGACCTCGCCATGTATATCTGAGAATACGAACAAGGTGAGCAATCAAGGGTATGAAAAAGACGAAGACTGATGAAGCAGGGCGGTGCCAGTGGTCTTAAATAGCGGAGTCGCGATGGCCGGGTGCAGTGGCGGAGCCACATACATGTGAAGGTGGGGGGGTTGGGAAATGCACCCCGGGAGAAAATTGCACGTATAGTATGAAAAATTACAATTTTACACCCTATATTTTTAATTTTTTTTAACTCTTCAGACTTAATAAAAAAATATTTGAAGGTCTAAATTCAAACTCCATGTCAACCTTTTTAATATATTTTGATAAAAAAATCTCAATATATTTTGTCCAAATAAAAAAAATATAATTTTATTTATGTTATTATATTTTTTTCTTATGTAATTAATTTTAAAAAATTAAAATATTATTTTTTTAATTATTTATTTTTAAATTATATTTTCTTGCACCCTGATTCAGGTCTTGACTCCCTCATTGGCTGGGTGTGTGATGAAGGTTGAAACAGTAAGATCCCAAAGCATATTGGGGCAAGAGGTGAGAACCACCTTTTTATTTGACTTTAATTAAAGCGTTTGATCGGACTTTACTGAAAGAGTTAAAGGTGAAGAGCACATCTGGTATGTTCACTTGTACAGTACTATAGTGCTTAATTTTTCACTTACTAATATTTTAAAGAATGCGCATTCCCACATCCTATACTTCATATTGAATTTTAATTGAATATAATAAATTATAAAAATAATTAATTAAGTAATAAATTTTAATCATAATTAATTATGTTATAATGTAATTTATTTGGATACTATTTTTTTAAAATTAATTTTAATAGAATTAAAAATATTTAGATAATTTAATCAAAATCAATTTTAATTATATAAATTACTATATAATTTAATTCTTAAATATCAAACATTAATTTTTTAAGGATATAAAATTTAAATTTTATTAAGAAAAAAAAAAGAGAGAAGAGAAGAGAGTTTGATTTTATTTTTATTAAATTATGTGCTTTATTTATAATTTTTCTGTATATCTTTTTTTGTAAATTTCTTTAATGTTTTTGATAAAATTTTGGCAGAAAGCTTGTTGGGGGAGCTTACGGGCTTTTCCGCGTCCTACCTCAGAATCGTTTTTTGTCCGTTTTTGACTGTTTGGGTAACTTGATTGAAAAAATTGATTTTCGGGGAAAAAATGGATTTTTTCCCCTCACCCAAACACACACGTATTTGAGAAGAAAAATTGTTGTCTTTTTTATGTAGTAGCATTCCCACGTCCAAAATATATCATATTATTAAAATTGTGATAAAAAATGACTTACATCACTAAAATAGTAAAATTTTATTTTTATTTTTAATATTTTTCTTTTAATTAAACGCAATTTATATTTTAATTATTTTACATTTATATATATCTTCATAGTACAATTAATAAGGTCAATAATTTAATCTTTTGTGTAGAGCATCTTATATTTTTAATTAAAATTAGTTGGTAGAAAATATTATATGTCGTGAATATTGAAAAAATTTAAGTGTTACATGGATGCTTTTTGTTATAGGATCATTACTCTTTTTTTAAAAAGTTAACCTAATGGGGCATGCGTAATCCAAGTGTTACAAGAATGTCTTTTGTTATAGGGTCATTACTCTCTTTTCAAAAGGTTAACTTAATAGGACGTGCGCGATTCAAGTGTTACAAGAATGCCTTTTATTATAGAGTTATTACTTTCTTTTCAAAAGGTTAACCTAATGGGGTATGTACAGCATACCTGTTTACATAGCCAATACCCTTTTCAAGTCTCTATAATATAGGATGTAACAATTCTCTTAGTCAATTTGTAACACTCCCATCATAGGTAGCTCACTAGAAGGATTCACTAACTAGGAAAACTTGAGATTGGTTTTAATACTATTTTGCCATGAGTTCATTATTTTTTTTCCAAAAGATTAACTTAATATGATGTACAATGTATCTATTTATATAATTAAGATTCTTTCCAACCTCCCCCAATGTTAGATGTAACGCTTTGCTCTCGTTGTAAAAGAGAGGGAATGAGCACGGTGAGCCTGAAAAATAATGCGTTTCTTTCTTTAAAAAAGGTGCAAATATAAATGGATATGTGGAGTTGTAGCCCACCCTAAAAGAAGAAGTGTTTAACGGGGATAAAATTTTAAAAGAAATTGTTAAATTAAAAAAAGTAATTCATGAGTTTTGAATTTCTATAGAACTTATGGAGTTGCTTTTCTGTCATGCAAGGGAAAGCAGTGAAAGAACTGCGGCTTTGTTATTTAAATTTAATACTTTTTTAAAATATAGATTTAATTTAAATAATTTAAATTTATAATGAATATATAGTATAAAAAATCATTTTAAAAAAAACCCAGGCGTGGGGTGGGAAATAAAAAGGGGACGCACGGTCTTTCTTTCATATCAAAGAAGAAGCGAACGGATGGATCGGGATCCTCTGCGAGTCTACTGGTGCTGTTAAGTAATCCAGCCGTTGCTTTTATTTAGGAGCTTACAGAAGGACACGTGGAGAGAGGTGTTTTTTTTATAGATTTTTTTCCAAGCATGCTGACCAAACGTAGCGTTTTCGAAGAGCTGATCCTCCCCGCCCAAAACATAGGGCACGTTCATGGCAAGCACTTCTTTTACTAAAGTGAATTTTGCAACGTGAATTTTGCAACATGAATTTGGGAGAATATCAGAAACAATTTAATTTTATAAAAAAAATTTAACGAATAAATATTAATAATTAATAACTGAAATTTTAATTTTAGCAACTATATGATCTATACATATTAAATTTTTTTCAAAAGTTTTTCATTTAATATTCTCCCAATCAGCTGACTTTAGATTAACGAAATATTACACCATCACTTTCTTGGTCACTTTGTTTTTCAGTTTGATACAGGCTTTCGCGACTTCACTTCACTTCGTTTAACCAGAACAAACGAATTTCACCAATCCACAGTTCAAAACCGCAATCCAGCCCCTGTTAACTCTCACCTAGTTATTCTGGAAGCCCCCAAGCGTATTGTAGCACTCCTTTTATTTTAAATTATAAAATATTTTTTAAAAAATTATCATTTTTAAATAAGATATTTTAAAAAAAATTAAAATTTCATTAAATTTATTTATTTTAATATTACCTTTTCTCTCTATTTAATATTAATTAAGTGTGAATTTAAAATTATTAAATAAAAAATATTTTTAAAATTTTATATTTTTATTTTAAAAAAATTATTAAATATATTTAATAAGTGTTATTGAAATATAAAATTTTATTTAAAAATATCTGGAGTAATATAAAATAATGAGACCTTGGAAGCTCCCAACATGCCGATATCGATTCATATTTAATTATGCTACTGGCAAAACAAAAAAAGAAAAATCATATTTATACTGGTTCCCCCCAGAAATTTTTGGTGAGGTTTATTCAAGGGAATCGCTGCAGATATTAAAAAAAGAGTCTGTTTATTGATCGTTATCACTTTCACAACACAAGCCATTCTTCACTTAACCCCAGAAGATCAGATTCTCGAACACTGAGAAATTAAGGAGGAGACAAAGGAATTAATGAAGCATTACAGAAACACTCGCAATGTAACATTATTCTCGAACACGGCACAACTTGAGAGGGTAAAAAGTGATGGATCTATCACTCCCTCCTCAACCTCCATAGATGTGGGGCCTGCAGTCTTTAACAGGGCCTGGTGCAGAAGCAGCGGCGACGGAAGCCACGGCAGTGCCCTCCGGGGAATCCCTCGGTCCGGCAAACGTTGGCGCAGTTAGATTTGCTCACACACGTCCCCTTGAAGCGGTGGCTCTGGGACTCGCACGTCCTTGCTTCTGCCACCATTGTCGGCCCCATCTCTGATCATCACAAAACAATCAAGAACAGCATCAGAGATCACAAGGAGAGAGAAATGACGAAGAAAGAAGAACGTGAAGGAGCGAAGAGATACGAACCAGTGGCGACGAGAAGGAGGAGGAGGACGAAAATGGTGGAAACCAGACGCCCAGACCTCGCCATGTATACCTGAGAATGCGAACAAAGTGAGCTATCAAGGTTATGAAAAAGACGCAGATTGACGAAGCAGGATAGTGCCAGGGGTCTTAAATAGCGAGTCGCGATGGCTGGGTGTGATGAAAGTTGAAACAGTAGGATCCCAAAGCATGGTGAGGCAGGAAGTGAGAACGACTTTTTTGTTTTGATTTTAATTAATGCGTTTACTCTGACTTTACTTAAAGGTGAAGAGCATATCTCGCATGTTCACTTGTACAGTACTATGGTGCTTAATTTTTCACTTACTAATATTTTAAAGAATACGCATCAGACAGCAAAGAATCGGAATAAAATCTATATCAATTTTTTTAAAAAAATGTATTAATAAAAAATTGAAACATATAAATCAGGAGGGAGCCAAGATTTAACAATAAAGATTGAAGTTAAAAAATTTTATATATATATATATATATGTATATTACAAAACTTTCATAATTTTAATTTTTTGAGGAGGCTAAATATATAATTTAAAATCTTGGTAGAGCATGGCTTCTGCTGCTCCCTCCCTCTGCCTGTGCCCCTAGTATAGATGATGTGGAACCGAGTGTGAGAAATGAATTAATATATGAAATATATTATAGTTTTTAAAAATTGGCCGGCAAGGATCCAATATCCAAGCATGGGGAATGAATCACGGTATCTATGATTGTTCCTTAAAAACAATCCCGGTATGGTGCTGTGAGACGCATGAGAGATGTAGGATTTTAAAAAGATAAAAAAACTTGACTTTTAATTAAACATTAAAAACCTCAACTTTTTTATTACAGTTTACACGAATGTGAAAATATAAAATGAAGATTATTAATGTAGAGATATATTAATTAAAGAAAAAAGATAGCAGGTTGTGTCGGTCGTACAATAAAAAAAATAAAGACTAAAACTATATGATAAAAAAATAAAATAAAAGACACAGGGTCTGAGGTTGATAGTTTATTGATGCTAATAATGATTGTTGAGAGAGAGCTTCTCTATTTATAAATGATCTTGACTTGATACCTAAACCCCATGATCATCACTTTTCTTGAATATAGGAATCACTTCTTCTATCATGGTCACCCATTAAAGGCGATG